TGAAATTTTGTTGCAAAAAGAAACATGATAAAAAGAAGTTAAAAGAAATTCCCAGAAAAGCAAACTATTACACAACAAATTAAATATTCACATCAGCAGTTCTTTATTTTAACAAGACAAATTAAAGTAAAATAACCTAAAAAAATTGAATGTACAATTATACTGGGGAAGTGGTTGCTATATAAATTACAAAAAGAAAAAGAAATAAATGATATTAAAAGTACAAGGTAGAAGCTTTATGACAAGGCAAACGTCTAGGCTAGCTCTAATAAGCCAAGTAACAAAACCATTGTTATAGTTAGAAAACACACACGCCACCAGCAGAGGGCGGCCTTTGTGGGTCAAAACCTTTAAAATGCTATAAGCAGGGGCAACATTTTTGTAAAATTTCCTTTCAGAAAGTTGGCCCCAAAAGATGTCAATCATGACATAATGACAAGAACCAGAGTGGTTTTAAGGAAAAAAAGAGAAAAAGCCATTCCATTATTATATTAGAAATTTGCATTTCTGCTGCCAGATTTGGGTTACATGATGTAAGTGCGCTGAGCAGCACAATCTGTTCTAAAGAGATGCTAATGCTAGAGAATGATGCAAGCACTCAATCATCAGGTCTGGATTCGCAGGAGCAATCACTTTTGTGCAGGCTTGAACTGGGCTATGTTCCAAAAGCAAAATCCTCCAAAAGTCAAAATGTAAGCATTAGAAAAAATAAAGCTCAAAGACCTTCACTTCTTTCTGTATTTCGGTCAAACCTGAGACTTTTTCTTCAAAACACATCTTCTCCTTAGGATACTATGAAGCAAATACATTTAATTAATTAACAATAAACTGGGGGTCAAAAATCTAATTATTACAAAATGAAATGAGTCATAGATGCCTTATTTGTATTGTGCTGTGGCCAATAATCTATTTACATAACTGAACATAGAAATTATTTTATTATATATACACGCAAGTGTACCCAATTCCATGGTGATATTAATCGACTTATAATGATAAGTAGCGTGGTGGCCTAGAGATGGAGCTCTTGTGAGTTCGATCCTAGGTAGAGGCAGATATTTCTCTCTCTGGGCACAGTGAGAATATATCTGCTGAACAAAACTCCGCATTGGCAACAGGAAAGGCATCTGGCCAGTAAACACTCAGCTCCATTTAGTTGCCCAGACTCCACTCCGCAAGGGATTAGGGGTCATTAAAAGAATATGATTAATCGACTTAATACAGCAAAAAAAGAAAAAAGAATCCTGAATGTTAAATTCCATGGATTATACTAATAAAGAAATGGAATATATGCCATCTGGTAAGCCTTAGCTAAGGGCCACAGAATACTAACCGCACTCTGCAGCCTAATTTGAACTAATTTTCCTAATCATGTAAATTTAACCTGCTCATAAGGGCTTTCTGAAATTCAGTAGCCTCCAAATCCTGTACTACAGAAGCATGCATATGATACAGCATAAGTATAGCACGAAGTAGTCTTGCATGCATGATGGATCCTAGAAACGAGCTTTTGATCCATTATGTGTGTAATATAACACACACACACACACACACACACACACACATGTTATATTAAAAAAAATCAAGATACTAGTTTAGAAGATTTTCTCCAAAGACTTTTAGGGAGTGGGGCATGAGGAGCTCAATCTATCTTCCAAGAATTCACTTCATGGTCAGTTAACAAAATTATAACTTTTTAACTAAATTTAATTCCCTTGTCTCTATCTGTGAAATCACAAAGCAATATATAAGCAATAAATATAAGCAGACTTTCCTGTGTAGCAAGGATAGAATAATACAATGTAATCCAATCAGAACAAAAACTATTTTGCTTGACTCTTCAGTTATCCAGGTAATGTTAACCACGGCCTTTGAAGATGAATTAATTTATGATGACATAAACATTCTGTTAAGATTTACACAAAATATGACAGTAATGCTTCTGAACACAAAAACATGATACACAGGAATTCTCCAGTTATATTAAAATAGGCCATGATATATGCCATGATTAACTTTGGGAGTTTTAACCCAATGAGTAGGGAGAAGGGAGGGTAGCCACAACAACATTCTTTCACCAGAGCTCAAGATCGAGTCGCTGGAGTTTGAAGGGGAGTGACTGGACTTGGCGGGAGTTCAGAATGGAGGTGGATTGGAGAGCGTGACTTGGGGGTCATCATTAAGGGGGTTGGATGTGAGTTTAATATATAGCAGGGGAAAACGTGGGAATTCAGATTCAGGTTTTCCCCAGATGTGCCAATATGACTTCTCTAATAAATTCTTACTTGGATGGACTTTGACTCTTGAGTGCTGAATTTGGGGTGGAGAGTTTTGTTGGAATGCTGACAAATAACGTAACTCAAATTAAGCATGCTTATTTTTACAGTGATGGTTAAAGAAATGTTTTATTCTCCTATTAAAGGAAGTAGGTTTTAAAGTAATTTTGTATTAAGTAAAATGATACCGTTTCTCTCCTGTACAGTTGGTCTTTTCCAGAATGCTTTTCTACCTTTCTTTCATATATGTAAGAATCTAACCAAAAAGAAAAAAAAGTGAGAACTAATGCAATAATTTTATTTGCAGGTATCAAGTCTATCGAAATAGCTACATCTTTAAAAATGTCCATAGAGTAAATTATTGTCAGTTATTTTTCTGTTGCTTTTCAAACTGCAACCCACTATGCTATCATAGGCCAAATTTGTCTGTAAATCCAACTGATCATTGTAATTTCTTGTTTGTAATTCATAGCCTGAGGCAGGGGATGTGACAATGACTCAGCTTCCTAATAGCAAGGTTAACACTTTACAAGGTTTACCTTCCAAAAAGAAAAAAGTAAATAGGACAAATGTAGAAAATGCCACAATAAGCCAAATAATCTTTTATACTGGAAGGAGAAATGTTTAAAAATGTTTAAATATGTAATGCATAATAAAAAGGCAAAGCCTATTTTGAGTCTTAAAATGGTATCAGTAGAAGCTTTTTGTTTATGTATGGTTAGTTTTTCAAACTAATGAGAGTAAAACTGAAATCCAGTAACAGAATTGAACAAGAGCAGGAATCGGACAATCATTAATGTGGAGGCAACAATATCAAAGTCAGTGATTAAATGGAGTTCAGAAAAACAAGGAGCCAGTCCAGGGATTCTGGAAATTTCTACAACTGGCAGTTCTGATAACGCAGACTAATTGTGCAGATTATTTCTGTCCATGCAAGCTCTAGCTATGGGCTTTTAATTATGAAGCATGAATCCCTACTTAAGCCTTGCAGAATAGCCTACAATGTGCCTTCATACACAGGGGCTTCAATTCTAGTGAGTTGGAATATTTTTAAATTTCTTTTTCAGACTAAGCAGCATTCAAATCTTCCCCTTCTTTTCTCAAGACTACTTTTGGAGTGCTGACTGCTTTAGTGGGAGGGAAATGCTGCAGTATTTTGCTGCAGGTTCCACTTGTTATATAAGTTACATATGTTATATATAACACTTACTATAATGATATACGGCAGTGGTCCCCAACCTTTTTTGTACCAGGGACCAGTTTCAAGCACAAACACTTTTTCAAGGACCGGGGGTGTGTGTGGGGAGAATCCGAGTTTGGTGGTTTGCTTGCAGACGTTTCATTACCTGACTAGGTAACATCTGATGTTGTTACCTAGTTGGGTAATAAAACGTCTGCCAGCAAACCACCAAGTTCAGGGAGCGCCTCGGCCCTGCCTCCCTCAGCCCCATCCCTCAGGTGTCTCCCTCCCTCCCTCAGGTGTCTGCCTCGTTCCTC